AACTCGTAACAATGGTTTTAAATTGGACAAATTTAGATTTAGGCGCGAAATAGGTAAACATTGGTTTGGAAATAGAGTAGTGGACGACTGGAACAAGTTACCAAATATCATCATTAACTCGAATACGCTGGATAGCTTCAAACATAGGTTGGATGGATATATGAGCAATAGGGGTTGGGTGTAAATGGGACTGCCCAATATGGGCCAATAGGCCCGCTGCAGTTTCCTCCATTCTTATGTTCTTATGTTAATAATAAAAGACTCGACTGCCCTCCTGTCCTGCTGCCCCGCCCCTCCTGTCATGTGTGCCCCCCTGTCCTGTGTGCCCGCCCCCTGTCCTGTGTGCCCCGCCCCCTGTCCTGTGTGCCCCGCCCCACCCTGTTGTGTGCCCCGCCCCTCCTGTCCTGTGTTCGCTCCCTTCCTGTTGTGTGCTCCGCCCCTTCCGTCCCATGTGCTCCGCCCCTCCTGTCGTATGCCCCGCCCCTCTTGTCCTGTGTGCTCCGCCTTTCCTTGCCCAAGCAGGAGGAGGAGCTACATATTCATAAGCTCAAAGCACTGAGTATAGTGGTATATATACCAGCGGTGACCGTGAATGGTGACCACGTCATCTTCATCGACACTTCCGATCATCTCTCAGACACAGCACTTCAGGCTACTACACTTCACTGCAACAGACCTCAGAACTCGCCATCATGAAGGTAGGTGTTGTGTTGTATTTTGTTCACTCGAATATCCTCGGAGGAATGACAAATCGTACAACATATATTAAAGTGAACCACTATGGGTGAGGCGTAAGAGTGTGTTCCTTCCTGCAGGTGTTGGTGATCTTGGCCGTGACGACAGCCGTGTTGGCCTCTCCCACACCCCAGCAACCCGAAACGTATTTATTTCATTAATTAATATGATAATGAATATAATAGCTTCCTCGGATTTATTTTTTTAAATCTTGGCTACAAATTGTCACGCTGTTGGATCCTTAATTTATGTTTATTAATGACGTGAAGGCCGACTTATGGAACATCATTCACTCAGGAAGTCCCTTCACTTTAAGAGTTTAGCTGACACTAGTTAACATGTTTATCTGTAATGTTTCCGCAGACAGCAACACGCCCTGCCTTACTACTACTACTATGAGGTGCTCGACTTGCCCACCCGCAACTTCCAACGGAAATTTGAAATGAAGTTGGTCACCGGCGACGTGTTAGGCTTGTATTGGTATTTGGCCCCTGACGACCACATCCACGCTACGAGGTACAGCGTGCGGGGCGACAGTGGCTTTATGACCAGGAGAAGGAAGATCCCGGTGGAGTTGATTGCCACTTGAATAACACCTTCCACATGCCCTCTTTGATCACAGTAGTCACCCAGCAAGAGACGTCAGCTTCTAAATGAGATTAAAATATAGTTTTTCCCCACCATAGTGCGGTGTATATCACAGTATATACTGTACTCCATAGACTGAAAACTGTTCTTGTTAGTGTACAACTCTTGGCTTTGTTTGCTATACGTGTTTGTTATTTGTTTCCTCTTCTATCATTTTATTTTGATACAGTTATTGTTTATTAGTAATTATATATGTAATACTGTCTCCTTACAAGAGTACGGTAATAAATATTGAAGAATGTGTTTTTATATTCCCATAGCTAAAAATTATCAAATTATCTATGTCGTCAGTGTACAGTTTATTTTGGTGCTTCTTATACAACTCATCATTGACCTTTATAGTGAGAATCTTGGCCACTGTGTTCTGGCTCTTACGCAACCCAACTTGTGTTTTACTCAAGACCTCTCTCGGTCACATCTTGATTCTAGTCCACAGTTTCCGGAATATTATATCTGTGTCTCAACAAGCGTAAACATTTATAAGTCCCATGTTTAAATTGTTCCTCCTTTTATGGTGAGGGAGGTCTCTCTGCCCGTCTTTTGGTGCCTTTGGTGATGTATATATTTTACGACATAACTAATGAAGGAACCTGACTATACATGTAGCTGTATCTCCCTGCTCCTCACTCAACACGTAGCCAATAATTGTGATCACTTTTAGTTTTGAGTTAATTAAGTGCTGCCTTGACCTCCTCTGTTATTATAATGGTGTTTTGTTCCTCACTTGTTAACTCTTCCAATACGTCGGAATGTGGTTTATTGTGCTCGTTATAATGTTTAGGTATCGCTTCCATCTTTGTCTTATATTGCCTCCGTCTGCGTCTTACTGAATCGTGTTAATCTCTTGCCTCTTTTACACTGATGACCTGCAGGTGTGTGTTTGTGTGTAGAGTTGATCTGTTATCGCGTCATGTGTCATCGCTTGTTGGGATGTACTCTTCTCAGCCTCAGTCGAGCCGCCATAAACCGACTACTAATCACCTGATAGCAGATCAACACACGGTAACCTTCCACCTCAAGATGTCTTTGCGACGTCCAGCCTGTGACCTATGATCTACGATTTATTTTAGTTTCAACACCTGCTGTCCAGTGTATCCCAGCTATTCCCGGACATTAGCCAAGTACCATTCCAAAAGCTCTACAGGACCTTCCTCCCACAGCGGCCTCACAGCCTGAGTGGCAATGCATAAAATTTCCTTCTTGATTATGATAGATAGGTTCTCTTGTTATTAAGTCGTGATTAGTGGGGGCTGTCTCTAACTGCTGGTTCTTGGTACCCAAGTCGTCGCCACCCGCTTGACACACCGGCAACTCAGGGTTGGCGATGTCTTCGGGGTCTTGCGCTGGTTTTTTTGGTAAACGTGCTGCACAAGGTTATCACCCTTCTCCCCCTCCGGCTGGCACAGTGGCTGCATTGGCCTCTGTATCTAGGCCTATAGCAGTAGGCCCTTCTTGACCCTGTTAACCTGACGGAGGAGAGTCAACTCTGACATCTCCTACCTGTATGGATCTAGTTTACATAGTATACTGCAAGAAGGCTTTACGTGCGTCTTGACTGGGAAAAGTTTAAGTACGAAAATAATGGATTTTACGCGATTGGTTTTCTTTTCACCCCTGAAACTAGCTGGCGGCGGAAACTGAAAGTGAAAAGTTTGTAAGTAGCAGAACCAAGGCCATCGCTGCCACACCTAGATGTTTATACCAGCCCTTAGGTCAGAGGATCTCGTGAAAAAGCTCATCACCACACCACACCAAGCAACACCACTCGTCCCTGCTGTTCGTTATTCACAAGGTCGGTTTGTCACGAGATAGAGAGCACACAAAACCTGTTGACAGGTCGTAGTGTTACACATAATACCTTAATGTATTCTTGAAATATCACTAAAACCTGTTCTTCTTTTTTTAGTTTTGTCAGATGACCTCTCAAGAATCTTGTCAGTGATAGTTCTTGAGGTTTGGCCAGACGTCAACAGGTGTAAAGTAACAACGTTCAGCACCTTTACACTTAGTTAATGTGTTATAATGCTAATAGTATGTTATTGTTGCTGTTATTATTGCCATCGTTATTATTGTTGTTATTATTGTCATCATTATTATTGCTGCTATTATTATTATTATTATTATTATTATTATTATTATTATTATTTGTTGTTTATTTTCATTGAAACATTTTTAATGCATATAATGTAGACCTGGCAGGTGATCCAATTAATAAAGACAAAATCTAATTAAGAAACGGCAAGTAAAGTAAGTCATTGCTTCCTCGCGAGTGGTAAAAACTCTCACTGAACATCAACCTAGAGAAGTCGACTTGTGAAAGAGACCTAGGGGTACTTGTAAGCCCGGACCTACGGCCTAGAAAACAGTGCGTTAATGTTCGAAATAAGGCAAACAGAGTATTGGGTTTTATATCTAGAAGTGTAAGTAAGAAGAGTGCAGAGGTCTTATTGCAACTATATCTTGCGCTAGTCAGGCCGCACGTCGATTATGCGGTCCAGTTCTGGTGCCCCTATTATAGAATGGATATAAATTCACTAGAGTCGGTGCAGCGAAGAATGACAAAAATGATTCCGGGACTTAGAAACCTTCCATATCAGGATAGGTTAAAGAAACTTAACTTGCATTCCCTAGAAAGACGAAGAGTGCGGGGAGATATGATAGAAGTATTTAAGTGGGTGAAAGGAATCAATAAAGGGGATATAGATAAAGTTCTTATAATATCCGAGCAGGATAAGACTCGGAGCAACGGATTCAAGTTGGATAAGTTTAGGTTTAGGAGGGAGATAGGAAGAAACTGGTTCACAAATAGGGTGATGGACGAGTGGAACAAACTTAGCAACTTTGTAGTAGGTGCGGGAACTCTGGAAAGTTTCAAAAGGAGGCTAGATAGATTCATGGATGATAGAGAGTGGTAGTAACTCGACAGGAGCTGCCATGCACAGGCCAACCGGCCTATTGCAGACTCCTTATTTTCTTATGTTCTTCTTATGTTCTTATGTCTGATTTTGGCGGAAACGAACCACGGAGCTGTGAGTTATGATCTCGTAAATATTACTGCAACATACTGAACAAAAACAACACATCTCTCGTGGTGCTTCCAGTCTCAAGGCCTAACTTGTTCCTTAAATAGTAATTTTTTCTTAATTTTTAGTATTATTTATTTTACTGGCCCGCCACACACGAACACGAACCAACGATATATTAACCTGAAGTGCTCCATAATTTTCAGTTTTATGTCTTTTCTACCTAAGCTTTCATCAATAGAGGAAAATATCGAAGTTCATTCCCCTGGGAGATAATTGTATTAAAAACTTTGTGATGCTAGACATTTCTTATACTGTACTCTACTGAATTAGATATTTTCACTCCGCAAAATTCCTATCTGAGGTTTAGTAATTTGTTTTGAATTATTCGTTCACATATTCCTGTCGGCGTAATAATACATGTACAATCAACTCCAACAAGGATGTTTTAACCTTAGTGGGGATGAGTTCAGTAGGGCGTCACCTTCTACGAAACCCCGTGTTGTCAAAAGGTCGGGGCGGGGCGTGTCCAACAGTGGCGGTAAAGAGCAGTGGATTGTGTCCGGTGCTTGCTGCTTGACTGTACCCGGTTCTCACGGGTATATAAACCCTGGCATATCATCATCACCCACAGTGCTCTACACACCTTCATACAACTTAAGCCATCGTCTTCCTCCAAGCTTTCAATCATGAAGGTTTGCTTTAAAAGTTTTCAGTGATATTGTCTACTTAATAGGTAGTACCCTTCATGATGTGCAGTAAACACTTAAACTTCAGCTTGTCGGTGAAGTGATGTTTTTTTTTGTGAGAGAGAAAGCAACGTGAATCAACACTTTTAAGGTGTTTTTAAAAGTTTCTCGGTGCTCGTCTTGGGATTGTAAGATCAAGCTTCAACACCCGTTCCTGAGTGCTCGGAACGGTCGCGCAGGAACGGGCACTTTTATTTAACACTGAATTTTGTCGTTACAACCACCTGATAAACAATATTAATTCATGGAACAACTATTTATTTCTTGTAAATACCCACCCCAGACTCTCGTTAATCCATCTAGCTATCGAAGTTTGGTAATTGACAACGATGATTTAACCCTTTGACAATGATGGTTTAACCCTTTGACAATGAAGTTTTAACCTAACGACTGTTTTAATCCTTTGAGGACGATAGTTTAACCCTTTTAGCTTGAAGGGTTAACCCTTTTGAAGATTATGTTTTAACCCTTTGAGGACGATGGTTTAATCCTTTATGGACAATGGTTTAACCCTTTGAAGACGCTGGGTTAATCATTTAAGGACGTTGGCTTAACCCTTTGAGAATGAAGGTTTAACCCTTTTGAATACCATGTTTTATCATAAGAACATAAGAAAATAAGGAGTCTGCAATAGGCCGGTTGGCCTGTGCATGGCAGCTCCTGTCTAGAGTTACAACAACTCTCTATCATCCATGTATCTATCTAGCCTCCTTTTAAAACTTTCCAGCGTTCCAGCACTTACTGCAAAGTTGCTAAGCTTGTTTCATTCGTCCACCACCCTATTTGTGAACCAGTTCCTCCTTATCTCCTCCTAAACCTAAACTTATCCAACTTACATCCGTTGCTTCGAGTCCTATCCTGCTCGGATATTATAAGAACTTTATCCATCTCTTTTTTTTATTCCTTTCACCCGCTTTAATACTTCTATCACATCTCCCCGCACTCTTCGTCTTTCTAGGGAATGCAAGTTTAGTTGCCTCACCATCGCTCCCCATGGCTTAACCCTTTGAGAATGGAGGTTTAACTCTTTGAAGACGATGGTTTAGTCCTTTGAGGACGATGGTTTAACCCTTTGAGAAAGAAGGTTTAACCCTTTTGACTACTAAGTTTTAATCCTTTAAGGACACTCATTAAACCCTCCAGGAGTTTCTGACGTTCAGATGTATTCTGAGTTAGTGTGTTGGCGACTAAACAAGTGTTGAGTGTAACGAGAAACTAAAATTATAGATAGAAGATTACTTAGAAAAATCAGTACAAGTTCAGACTTAGGCATGAAATACAACCTACAGTACTTATACAGATGGTGCCTCGATATGCTGTATAACACTGTTCCTTCCCCGCAGGTTGCTGCTGCTGTGCTGTGTGTGGTAGTGGCTGTGGCTGGTCTCCCCGCCCCTCAGTCATCTTCATCCACAGAGTGGGTGAGTTACTCTCACCATTCTCTAACTTATTGACTATTAGAGCACTCTCTAAACTTTGTCTAGATATCATTGTACACTCTACCCAAAAAATAACCCCCCCCCCCCCGTTCCAGGCTTAATGTATTTGGAAATGAACACAATAACACGTGCACTGCAGTCTCGGTTCGGTTGATATTTCTGATTGTGAATTGCACCTTCCGTTCTTTCTTCTTGCACCTGATAATCACCATCTGCAGTATACCACCTATTTTCTACATAATGCAATAAAAAAGGATGAATTGTGATAGCATGTGCAAAACCAATAACGTCTTGAATAACCCCGCTGATTTATGCACCTTAGCAGAGGCAACACGAGGCAGTATCATCGCCCTTCACGATATAGGCCTAAGCAACAAGGAGATAGCTAACAAACATTGATTGAAAGCTACTTTATACTGTTATTCGGAAAGTGACATTTCTCCATGTCTGTCGGTGCAAACTGTGTTTGCTAATGAGTCTCGGGTACTAGTGTTGGCCATGGATTACCAGCAGAAAACATCCACTAATTGACTGCTGTTGATATATTTTCGCTACATTAATATCATTATATTAGTCGACTAAAGATGGAGCACGGTGATTCACCATATTTGCAACAAATGCCAGAAATAATAACTGGCAACGTCACAGATACTAGGAAGGCAGCCTACCAACATAATGCAGGAATCACAGTTAGTGATCGGAAATACTCGCCCATTGTGACACGTTGTATCGATGAGAAAAGGGGCCGATAATTTTGGGGAGAGTGTACGTCTGAACGAATTACACACACATCACAAGAAGATGTAGACAGTTCGAGCTTATAGAGAAACTTTCAGATTACTTGGTCATTAGGAGTCAATCAGCACCGCCCGTGTGTCGATAGTGAGTCTCTTGTGAAGTGTTAAGCCTTGGTAGTCGTGAGGAGAACCGCGAACACTGTTTTTTACATTAATGTTTCTCCTAACTGAGGATTTTAAGTATCTGGTTGTGGTAGATTTCCAGTCCAATATCAATTAGGTGTAGTACATTGTAGACGCAGACTTCTATGTTTGTAAGTCCAGCTCTTCACCGGAGTACCCGAGTAGGAATCGAACTCAGGTCTCAGGAGTGAGCGGGAAGCGCACTAACACTGCCACCTTGTTGTCGTACCTGGTAAGTTATGTTCTTATATCCTTAACAAGGAGATGAAACAACGTGACTTCTTGAGAATGTAAACTCAGGCGTGCAGAAGGCACCCTGTTAAGGTTCTCTCGATCACTTTCGTGTGTGATTCTTGTGGCAAAATAGTGAAGTCTTATGCTGTGGCTTCCTGTCCTAACTTATTGAGTGTTGGTCTATTGTAAGATGACGGTGTTCTAGGTCACGCATAACCACCATGTAATCCTATTAATGTGGTTTGAGTCTTCACAAGACCAACGCTGTTTGACAATCCTGTGAAATCACATTTAAGGAGTTGTAGTGTAACTTGAAGCTTCAGTACTCCTGCAATACCCCAGAAATATTATATCATGGCTTCTTGTAATGCGAAAATTAATTATCTATTATATTTTCATATTTGTTCTTGTGATAATCAGAACCTCTTCTTCCCAGAATGTTTATGTTATGAGAAGTGTTGCCACTCCATCAGCTTTCTTCCTTACTGTTTGTCATGCCATTCAGTTTCTTATCGTTGTAAACCAGTTGCCTTTCCTAGATTGTCACACTGTATCGGTTCCCCCATCTTGTCATAAATGGTGAATTAGTGTCACTCTAAACCAATATACTCTCTCATTATGACTCCGGGTAACCTAAAACATCAACTTACTCCCCAGCCCATAATTCCATACGACTTCGGGTACGAGGTGTCTGACGCGGAGACGAACAACTACCAAAATCGCGCTGAGATCAAGCTGCCCAACGGTGATGTCTTCGGCTCTTACTCTCTCTTGCGGCCTGATAATGTGATTATGACTGTCACCTACAACGTAACGGGAGACGATGGCTTCCGTTATTCCATCGTCAAGACAGATCTTGATACTCCTGCAAGCTAGACGATCCAGTGTTGTTGCGAAAGAAAGGGAGAGAAAAAGTCTGTGTGTGAGAGAGAGAGAATCATATAGCATTATTATCATTGTTACTTTTTCAAATTTGTATATTATTCAATAGTCATGAATCTCAGATGACCTGAATGTGGAAGAGTGTGTCCGCTTGTATTCATGGCGTGTGTACAGTATGTGTGAGAGAGAGAGAGAGAGAAAATAATGAACCATAAAATAATCTGTCTGTTCTGACTCTAGTCTTGTAACACTGTTGTTGACCTGTGTGACAGTACTGGCTGACTGTCACAAACACACACATAAACCTTCACACTTACACTCACGTTATGTTGTATGTTCCTTTTGTCAGTTTACTCTGCTTCTTGTTATTATCATGTACAAATAAATAATAAACCTAAAACATGTTTTCCCTTTTTTTTCCCCACTGTGAGTATTGTGTTGCCAAAATTAAATTACAAATTTTTATTATCTCGATGTAAATAACGAAAAGCAAAAGCTAATACAACCCAAAAATAAGGTGAAAAAGTCCCCTAATAACTACAAATCACTGTGTATCTGAAGGCGACTGTGCTTCATTCAGCCGACACCACCAGCTAACTACAGCATCAAAGAAAACGGAACATCAGTGTTTGTGATTCATCCGCTTCACACTTCAACTCAACAACAAACATGCCGAGGCCGACCACTTGCTCAGTTTTGGGGTATTTAACTATTTATCACAAATTACAAACAGGTGATATGAAGAACTAAGAAGAAGGTAGATTCATTTGTGCAAGAGGTTAAGACTTAAGAAATGCTGAAACTACTTGGACTATCATTACCGAGTTGACCTGATTAAGAATGGAGCAATACCAATATTACGTCTCAGGTTTAAAAGGTAAGTAAATTTGCATTAGTGCACACAACTCAGGAAGTCAAAACTATGTTTGGTGAATTCATAGCATCACTTCGGTCTTTATTTCCTTATCAAACTATCCAACCAGGAGCGAAATTATAACAATGGCTTTAAATTAGAGAAATTTAAATTTAGGAGCGAAATAGGTAAACATTGGTTAATAGTTAATAGTTTGAATATGAAAATAGAAGCGAGAATGCACAGAACCTATTAGAAGCTGACCTAACCTCACCTAACTTCCTAACCTGTGCATTATCGTATCGATTTTCGGTAAAGGTTAAGGAGACGGGTAAAGATTCGGTTTACAGGGAAATATATTTTTCTGGTGTATTTTGGTATGCTTAGTTTAAATCTGACCTTCATATTCTTTGGAAAGTCCCCAATTATGAGAAAATTTCAAAAAGACTAACCAACCAAAAAATCCTACTTTACTTTATTTAACTTCCTAGCCAGAGGGCACCTCCCCCTGGACACACCACCATATTAAAGAGAAGGCAGGGGCTATTTTGCCGTGACTGGCCAAGTCCATTACCAGCAAACAATGCGAGAACTATATTACACCATGACACTGGTGGCATTTGGCATTTTTTCACTGTGAGTTGCTTGTTGTGTAGCTATAAACATACCTAACCACATTTCTGTTGTATTGGAAACTACTACCAAAAATAGAGGTAAAGATTCTTTTTAGGTCAAACATGTGAATTTCACATTTCCATTTATATAAGGAGAAAGCAAAAAACTATATTCTATTCCGTTTCCGGCACAAATTTATATTTTTCTAGTATATTAATCGATAAGACCTCCCCAATTACCAACAATATTGGTTGTTCAAAGTGGGCAGTAGAGGGAAAATGTCTGATAAAATACTAAAAAGAACACCAAACAAGTCTTTGAAAACCTTACCTAACTTGTAAAAGGTTTAAAAATACAGTAATGTCTGAGAACACCACTACCACCAGAAGGAGTTGTCAATTTTGTTCATTTTTACCTCATATATTATTATTATAAAAGAGGTGACATTTACGAGAACCTAATAGAACCTGACCTAACCAACCAAAGAAACTTACCAAACTTCCTAGCCTTGGGGTGGACCCTCCATCATAGTAAGCTTCTATTTAGCCAGTCAGAGTGCACTCACGGTAAAAAAGCATTAATAGGAACTTAGCTGGTCATGGTAAAATATCCACTACGTACCTTGAATCGCGGTGTCAATCCAAGTGTACCTGCCATGTCCGATTTATACACAGGCTGGCCTTAATTTAAGAAAGTAATTTACTTAGCAACATTTAGTTAGAATATTGTTAATAAGTAATAATGTTGTTAATGTTTGTATTGTGTTAAAACCAGTGAAGTCGACATTGATAACGAGTTTTATCAGGTCTCGGGGTACTCTGGCTTGAGTACTGCTCACCTGTGCTAGCTGTGTACATACTGTCCCAGGTAACTCATGTGTCGATGTTCATTGTTTTCATGACAAAAGCATAGGAAAAACAAAATCAGAAAAGAGGTAATTTTTCCTGTTTTATTGAAACTGAAGATGTAAGAAATAAGTTTTCTATAAAAAATTAACTAAAGTTGCTCGTTCCCATGATTTGGTTTCATAAATTATTATCAGGGCTAGGTTAGGTTGGTCTTATGAGGTTTATTCATTTTGTTGAAATAATTTAGGGTACCTAATATTTAGGTGATCTATTATTAACTTAAATTTACTGTGCTTTTATCTTGTTTGCCACTGATTGGTCTGTTAGCCATGTCTGTTACACACTGTTGGCAAGTACAATACTGAGAAAAGAAAGAAAAGCCAACCATTAGTCCTGTAGTTTGAATTTTTATGTAAGACTTTCCAGAATTATTGGTTAATGTTTTTTTTAGTTATGTGGGACTGTACGGTACATGTACTGTAATCAGGTGGCTGACATGATACAATGTTCTGGGTTAAGCAACCACCTGATGAAAAATCTTTATAGAAAAAAAAAGTTTATTTCTTCCCTTAAAAATAAGCTAAATTGGGTAAAGAAATTGCACTTATATCTTCTTAATTTTACTTTTATCCTCTTCGCCACTGATTGGCTAGTTAGCCACTTGGGCGGTCGGTTACGTCTCTGTTATGTACTGTTGGCAAGTCCTGGTCATGCACTGACTCCTAAATATATCTGAACCTGCTCCAGTGTTGGTCAAGTCTTGTCTTGAAAGAGCTCACACTTGGTGCCATACAACACTCTCTGGCAGGTTGTTCCAAGAGTTACAATTCTCACTTTGAAAATGTTTGTCCTCACAGTTTTCTGAACCTACAGTAGATGCTGCTGCTGTGGTGTTCAAGGATATCTAATTGTCAATACCTAACAACACTCTGGTTTCCCCCTCTGTTTTATGATGTTGCATTTTCCAGTGAATACACTATACAGCCACAGCAAGGGAAGGAGGCCAATTGCCTGTATAGGATCCTTCTATTGGTCTTGATATATTGTCTTGGCAAGAGCTGTTTTAGAGCACAATACTAGAATCATTCTCTGTTACTTTTCCTGTTAGATATCTTTACCTGCAGGGAATGTATTTCTTAGACAACACAACTTTAGCTTTATATCCTGCATGTTTTGACATCCTTTCTTTGCTTATCATCAGCTGTATATTTTATTTTTCATGGTCATCATTATTCACACTATACTGTACTTTTAATGATTTTATACAGTAAACCTTTGAAGATCCGGACCCAGGAAATCTGGATTTCGGAAGATCCGGATAAATTTTTTGGGGGTTCTGGGCTAAGAAGCCTCCTAGAAGTTTCCTTATGAAGCATTCCCAAACCAGAGCAAAGAACATTTTAGCCCCGTGGGCGCTGCTTAACCCGTCAGTTGCTTAGACACAGGTGCCTGAGGAGGTGGGAAACATAAACAGAGTTGACAATTGGTGTTTATGGGAATATTATTTCATTCACTCTAGCAATGATACAATGTTTCTTATTATGTTATCATAGATAAATGCATGGTTTATATACAGTAATTTGTTTATTACTACATTAGTTCTGAATTATTGGTGTTTCTTATACAGGGTATAATTTATTTTTGTTCAATCCAGAATGCAATGTCTAGTTTTTATACCCGCATATATACTGTATATATGCGGACCTTGTACACAAGCTCCGACACACCCGGGCTCTCGCAGTAATATACCAAGAGGTGGCTTTAGGTCGATAACCACAGTTTCTAATTATAGTTCTATCAGAGAAATGAGGTTTTATATCACATGTTTACACTACAAGGCTACTGTTAGGTGTGTGGTGAGGGGGAGATAGTAAAAGTTATATTGTATGCGTGATTTATTGTGTTCAATTATACATACACTATTGTTATTGTCTTTTTTGAGTATATGTTGTGATAATCTTCTATAATTGCTTCATGTTTAGGATGAGTAGCAGACAAGTCATGGGAGGGGGGGATAAGGTAGAAGTAGAGAAGGGGTTGAGGAAGTAGAGGGGGGGAAGGTGGTAGGAGGAGAAGGGGTTGAGGAAGTAGAGGGGGGGAAGGTGGTAGGTGGGGGGGGTCTGTAAAGTGTGGGTGGTTGATTATAATTGATTCAACTACAGTATTATGTTTCATTCATTTCTTGAAGGTGATGGCTCAGTGATATTCTTTACTCGACTCCAACACGCAAGAGCTAGGATCGAATCTTTGTGTATGTAGTGTGTAGGGTATGTATGTGTACAGGTGTGTGTGTACAGGTGTATATTTTTATGTGTGTGTGTACAGGTGTATATCTTTATGTGTGTGTACATCTTTATACACACTTTTATCCTTGTGTATCATCTCCCGTTTTGTTTGTACCTCCGACTGTCTTCTGGATACATTGTTTACTTTAATTTTTATACTACAGTATTTACAATACAAGTGTCCTGTTTACATCTCCATCATTCTTTTCTTGCTTGTTTTTAAGTTGTTTACTTTCCCTTAATTTGTTTGTTTGTTGATGTTAATCCTTGCCCAAATCCACCCAGGTAAACCTACTTACCGAGTGCCGATGTTTGGGACAGGTAACCAGTGCCATGATCCGGGTTGTGTGCTGACGGAGGGAGACACACTTGTTTGCTTACACCACCTTGACCCTCATTACCGAGATCCTAAAGTAAGTGAGATTCCTGTTAATTAAACTACAGAAAGTTGCTATTGCATACTTAACATTATATAGATACTTTTGTAACTTAAGTAATGTATTGTAAGTGTAAGTAAATATCTAAAAAAATACTTATATATGTGCGAAATAGTAAGTAAAAGTACATAGAAAATTATAACTACAAAAACTTTATTAATTTCCACATGACAATAAACTACAGAATTAGTTATAAATTTACATGTAGCCCTAAATTAATAAACAGTTAGTTAAAATGTATAAAGTCCAAATATTTACAAGACAATTAAATATTAATACAAAATTACTAAATAATTATATTATAAAATCAAGCACCAAATTAGTAGTTAATCATAACCTTTAATGATTTCCTGTATATTTAATTAAAGCTTTTGTGGGTTAATTTGGGTTTGTGTTTTGGTGTTTGGATGTTTGTGTATTTAGTGTCATGATATGTGTGTGTTTGTTTGTGTGTCTTGAAGTTTGTTTATTTATTTACACTATTCATTGGGTTTAAAACTGGTTTGTGTTTTTTTAGTTAATTTTTATTTAAACTGATCGTGCATTTTATTGATTATTACTAATACTGTCTGGATGTATACTATATGTAAGCATGTATGTACAGTGGTCCCTCGGTTAACGAGCACAATCCGTTCCAGCAGCTTGCTCGTTAACCGAAAATCTCGTTAACCGAAACCATTGTTTCAATGGGTTTTTGGGTAATTGGTTCCAGCTCACCGAAAATTGCCTAAATTAAACAAAAATGGTAGAAAAGTTTACTTACTTTGAGGTGTGTATGTAGAAGGCTCCTGGATGATGATGATGTGCATGTGAAGTGGGAGGTGGAGGAGGAGAAGGGAGAAGAGAAGGAAGTGGAGGTGGAGGAGAAGCATTTTACTGCTTCTTGGAAGGTGAGTCACCTTCCATGAAAATGTCAGGAACCTCTGGACTGACAGATTCTCCACCATGAACATCCTCTCTCCTTCTTGAAGTGGAAGGCTGAGGGCTAGCATCTTCTTCCCTCTGCCTTTTACTGAAGAAAGTGTCAATTGTGGTCTGTGGGGCATCTGTCCTCCTCACCATTAACTTATGTTTAAAGGAGACCACTGACTCCTCAACATGACACAAAGTTAGTTCAGTTTTTTCTACTTCTGGGTGCTTTGAAGCCAGTTCCCTGAACTTCTCCCAGTGGTAAATCACATCTTTCAACTGTTTAGCTGACATATGGTCATCACTTTCAATTTCCTCCTCACCACTGTCAGCCTCTACCTGTAACATCTCATCCAGTTGCTTCAAGTCATCAGGAGTAAGTTCCTCCTCATGAGACATCACAAGCTCTTCCACATCCTCCTCCTCCACTTCAAGGCCCAATGACTAACCAATGGACACAATCTCCTGGTCCAACTCTGTTTCTTCCTCAAATCCCTCAAAATCATGGACTACTGATGGCCACAGTGCTTTCCATGAAGAATTGAGGGATCTAGTGGAGACTTCTTGCCATGATAACACAATCAATTTTACAGCCTCCAGGATGTTGAATTGTGTCTTCCAGAACTGTTTCAGTGTTAGTTCAGGATCATTGGAAGTTGCCTGATGACACCTCCTAAACATTTTCTTCATGTACAACTTCTTGAAGTTGCTGATCACATTCTGGTCCATTGGCTGTATGATTGATGTAGTGTTTGGAGGCAAAAACAACACTTTCACAAAGTCAAATTGATACTCCAAATTGCTGGCAAGGTCAGGGTCATGACCAGGAGCATTATCCATGAGGAGAAGAGCCTTTAAAGGGAGTTTATTGGTGGTTAGGTAGCTCTTGACAGAAGGGCAAAACACATCAACAGCCCATTCATTAAAGAGCTGTCTTGTCACCCATGCCTTACGGTTGGACTTCCAATAAACTCCAAGCTTTGTTCTTACCACTTTCTGTTGCTTGAACACCCTGGGGTTTTCAGAGTGGTAGACAAGCATAGGCTTCAGTCGGAAATCCCCTGAAGCATTGGCACCAAGCAATAGAGTGAGACGGTCTTTCATGGGTTTATGCCCAGGTAAAGAGGCTTCATCTTTGGTGATGAATGTTCTTTTGGGCATCTTTTTCCAGAACAGCCCAGTTTCGTCCACATTGGACACTTGCTGTGGAAGATAATTTTCTTCTTCCATCAGTTTTTTAAATTCATCTAAAAACTTTGCTGCCCCTTCTTTATCAGCACTAGCAGCTTCACCATGCCTAACAACACTGAAAATGTCACTTCTTTTCTTAAATTTTTTGAACCAGCCTTTGCTGGCCCGAAAATCTTCAAATTATGTGCCTGAAGAACCAGGTTGATCTGCCTTTAAATGTTCGTAAATCTCCCTGGCTCTTTCACAAATGAATTCAGTAGAAACTGAATCACCTTTCATCTGTTTTTCCCTAATCCAGATGATAAGTAACCTCTCAGTTCCTGCGATTAGGGATCTACTTTTAAACACTCTTGTAGATTTGTCTCACTTTCACTTCTTTAAATTTGTCTTTCTGTGCAAGAATTGTCGACACAGTTGATGTCAACATGCCATATTCTTTGCTAAGCACATTTGTTCTAATGCCTTGTTCATGTTTTTTTATGATTTCCTGCTTGGTTTGGATTGAAATAGCTTTTCTTGTTCTCTTAGGCCCCATGCTGGATTCAAACAATGTCAACACGTGTTTTTCAAAGTTAAACTTGTTGTAAATAAAGAATATTTTCTTTAAAATAACACTGCACTGCGCTATATATTGTCAATATGTAAAATAAATTCCAAAATGACCAATAATTTGCTTGGAAACACAGAAAAAAAGCGTTTAGTTGAAGAGAGTCTCAAGCAAGATGTTACCTCCAGTGAAAACAGAGAGAGACTAATGCCTGTTTGCTGTGTTAAGAGGCTGGATGCCGTGCATTAAACTAGTCACTTTACCTTCAATTATGTTCAATAATTGTTAAAATGACTAAAAAATTGAATATTAAACTTTTAAAATTATTGAATAGTATAAACTTCTTGATATATACTAAAATAGTAAGGAATTTAAGCCCTAGAGCCGATTTATGTATTGGCGGACTAATACTACAGCTGGTTGACCGGCCAGTGCAAGCGAAAACATGTTGAGGTTGGCTCGTAAGAAATTCGTTAACCGAGGGGTTGCTCGTTAACTGAATTTAAGAATCTTATGGGAGGCAGCTCGTTAACCGAAATTTCGTTAACCGAGGCGCTCGTTAACCGAGGGACCACTGTACAATATACTGTATATGCATGTATGTATATCTACGTAGGTTTATCTATATCATAAGTACAAATGTATTTATCAACCTGTATATTCGGAGTAGCTATAATTTCTGTCATTGGTATATGTATAATGTATATTTTAAGGTTGCAGCATGTTGAAACACTATAATGTGCTGGTGTATGCAATTGTTGGTTAGTAACATTCAATTTGCATACTGCACCATGTTCCCGTCACAGTTGGCAGTTAGTATATTTCTAGGCCGGTGTAGAGGGTTAGCCTATTACCGCCACGATTTGTAGGGTTGACCTATTAAATTACCCCTACGGAGGAAATTACACGGATTACCAGGTATTTTCTGATTTGATGTGGAGAGTTACCAGTTACTGTATTTCTAGGTTAAAAATAGGGATGATGGCGGTTTTTCTTAAATTGGATGACCCATTAAGAATATTGGATCATAAATAGTCTTCTATACAATTTAATAGAATGATAAGTAATGGGGGTAATAGGCAATACGTATAGGTAAAAATAGGTTTACTTTTTTAATGTAATGTTAATTGATATGTTTAAATAGGCAAGAAAATTGGTTCATGAATTGGTCTACTGTCTTATATGATAATGTTTAATGGGTTTCAATAGGCAAGAATATCTTTACTTTGAAATTGGTATACAAAAAAATTCTAAACGATTCTCCTTTTACGTGAAACTCTGGATGGTAAATAGGGAACCCGAAAATTAGGTGCCCAATCAGTAAACATCTTCGAATATGAAGTATTAAACCTAACCATGCCCATTTTTTTACGAATAACCAATGCCTATTTTTATACAAATAACTAATGTTCTTATTTTTTTGCAGATCGGGAGAGGAAATGGGGAGTATCAAAAATAGGTCCATCCCTCAATAAACTACTACAAGACTAATTATCACCTGAACAAGTTAACTGAAATAGGTAAGAAACCCCTATTTTTTACTGCTTTTACTTTATTTCTCTATTTTTTAACATTGGCATAAATATTGAATAGAATCAGTTTATTTAGCCAGAAAAACACAGATACAGAGTGGATAATAATAACAATGTTAACATGGCTTAGCCAGTTGAGAACCTGAGCTCTCCTGTAGGCACCTGAAATATACAGTGAACCCTCACTTTACGCGGTCAATTGAACCCACGGAGGCCCGCGTAAAGCGAGAAACACGTAAAGTGAACAACATAACATATGGGATTAAATGAAATAGAGACCGGCTGACCCCCAAACTCCACTTTTTCCGACACAATACCTATGTTCTAGTAAAAATAACATCTTAATTTTATGATGGTACATGCACACAATTAATACTTAAAAGAAATAGAGAAATACAGTCGCCAAGTTAATGTCCATTCAAATAATGGACTCGACTCCCTCCCCCTCTTCTCACACTCCTGGCTCTTCCCTCTCTGAAAAATGTTTGGGGGAAAACCACTAGATTTTAAGGTATAGTAATAAATAACACCTCAAACTAAAGTTAGGATAATATAATTGACATTGCTGGATTCCTTGTAAGACCAGGAATATTTTGAATATAAATGTCATATATTTTGCACAAAAGATAACATATTTACTCAGAGTAAGCAAAATACTTTAAGTAGATCTAAAATTTGTATGTCTAATGCAAAATCTATGATGTTTATATTCAAAATGATCATCAAATTGTAAGAATTCCAGCAATGTAAATTATATTCTGGCCCGGTAATTTGTATGAATTTTATGAGCTAAAACAAATATCTTAAATAAATAAACAAAATATACTTACCGAAATACTATCTGTCAATCAAAATACCCCACCTCCTCCCCTCTTCCCACCTGCTCCCTGGGTCCCTCCCTCCCTCCCTACCCCTCACCCCCACCTTCCCTCCCTACCAGAGAAATGATTGGGTTATAACAGTATACAGTGGTCCCTCGGTTAACGAGCACAATCCGTTCCAGCAGCTTGCTCGTTAACCGAAAATCTCGTTAACCGAAACCATTGTTTCAATGGGTTTTTCGGTAATTGGTTCCAGCTCACCGAAAATTGCCTAAATTCAACAAAAATGGTAGAAAAGTTCACTTACTTTGAGGTGTGTATGTAGAAGGCTCCTGGATGATGATGATGATGTGCATTTGAAGTGGGAGGTGGAGGAGGAGAAGGGAGAAGAGAAGGAAGTGGAGGTGGAGGTGGAGGAGAAGCATTTTACTGCTTCTTGGAAGGTGAGTCACCTTCCATGAAAATGTCAGGAACCTCTGGACTGACAGATTCTCCACCATGAACATCCTCTCTCCTTCTTGAAGTGGAAGGCTGAGGGCTAGCATCTTCTTCCCTCTGCCTTTTACTGAAGAAAGTGTCAATTGTGGTCTGTGGGGCATCTGTCCTCCTCACCATTAACTTATGTTTAAAGAAGGAGACCACTGAGTCCTCAACATGACACAAAGTTAGTTCAGTTTTTCCACTTCTGGGTGCTTTAAAGCCAGTTCCCTGAACTTCTCCCAGTAGTAAATCACATCTTTCAACTGTTTAGCTGACATATAGTCATCACTTTCAATTTCCTCCTCACCACTGTCAGCCTCTACCTGTAACATCTCATCCAGTTGCTTCAAGTCATCAGGAGTAAGTTCCTCCTCATGAGACATCACAAGCTCTTCCACATCCTCCTCCTCCACCTCCAGGGATTGTGTTTTTGAAGAACCAGAGGCTCCCCCATAATGTGTGACAGTGTATCAGGTGTTGGTAAACAAAGTCTTGATAGATTTCTTTCATTGCTGTGAGAGTGAGTGACTGTCGAGTGTGATACATGATATCACACTGTTTATTGACTTTACTGTATGTGGTTTTTCCAGTTAAATTTCTCATCAACAATAACTCTGAGGAATTTAGTACAGTATTTTGTTCGCGTTTGAACACTGTATTACCAAAGTACAGGGATAACTAAGGCAGTACTGTATTTGAAAATTTGGGTATTGGTCACTAATTAATTAACTGGAAATAAGTAAAGGAAACTTAATTTTTTTTTATTTCGAAATTTTTGTGCTTCTTTTTACCAATTCCCTGGAAGTTTAGTGTTTTTACAGTTCTAATATTGTGTATCTGAAATTGGGAGCAAAGAATTGCCAGGTTTTGTTCTGGTTAAATTTGTTTTTCATTAACTTTCCTATGTATACTGTTAAATAGGTACAATAGGGAGATTTGATAATTGGGAGAACTGTACAATTAACCAATTAACTTGAAATTGACAAACTTTTCACCTATTTTTATCATCACAAAAATTCTCTCTGTTTAGGCTGAACTCTGAGGAAAATAGGTAAAATAGGAATGGATAAACTTATAAGATTTGTGGGACTTTATAATTGAAATAGGCAAAGCATAAAAACCAATTTAAAACTAATTCCTCCCATTTTTTTGCTGAACTCTGAACTAAAGAGTAATAATTGGGAACATAATGGGGGTGAAGCCATAAATTTAGTCAACCCGGCCATCGTGACACAATTTGCCACAGCATTACTGGCCAGCAACCCTTCCTGATCTAGCTAAAATAAGAGATGACCATGTCTAGCTTGTGAGGTTAGCTATGGAGGTGTTACTTTGAGCTGTAGTGGTGTAGGAGGGTATACTGTTTACTGTGTGTGTGTGTGTGTGTGTGTGTGTAATAATAATAATAAATAACTGTTTATTGAAAGAGCATGGCAGCCGGAAGGCTGAAAATATACTGTAGTTGTATAATTGGGGAATGGGTCTCTTGATTTACAAATAATATACAAGTAACATAAGTGATACATATACAGTATGATATATAATGACTAGGTGGGGAGAAGGTCATACTACTGGGCATTTGAACATAGTAACAGTGCAAAAAGGTAAGATTGACTTGGAGTGAATACACTTCCCCCTCCCCCTACCTCTTCCCCCTCCTACCTTCCTTGCTTCCCCCTCCTTCCTTCCCTTTCTATTCCTCTCTTTTCCCTACCTCCTTCCCCTTCCTTTCCCTACCTCCTTCCTTCCTCTCCCCACCTCCTTCCTTCCTCTCCCCACCTCCTTCCTTCTTTCTTCTCTTCCTCTCTTTTTCTCTACCTCCTTCCCCTTCTTTTCCCTACCTCCTTCCTTCCTCTCCCCACCTCCTTCCTTCCACTCCCCACCTCCTTCCTTCTTCTCCCCTTCCTTCCTTCTTTCTTCTCTTCCTCTCTTTTCCCTACCTCCTTTCCCTCCCTCCCCTTCCTTTCCCTGCCGTCTTCCCTTCCCCTCCTTGCTCGCCTCCCCTCCCCCCCCTCCCCATCCCTCCAGGTAAAGTGATAATCTCAAATTTCCAATTTAACGAGAAAGAAAAAAGTAAACAAAAGACAGATTCCTGCTGAAATTTGGCCTATTCATCGTCTTCTCAATTGCAGGCAGCCAGTCGGAATGTGATCGAATTTGGGCCGATCGAGAATTCTTTCCTCTTTCCTGGAGTTAATTGGAAAAGCATTAAGATTGAGAGGAAATGTTTGAGGCTTAAAAAAAAAGAAAGAAAAGAATGGAGGAATAAGACTAATGAAGAGAGAGAGAGGGGGGGGAAGGTGGTGGTGGTAGTCTCTTGTTGTACAGTGAAGAGTTGAACGAGAAGGTTGTTTGGTTGCTATGAGGTTGTGGTGTTATTATTGATGTTGATTTAGGTTAAGTTGGGTTGTATTAAGTGTTGTTATACAGGTTGTACCTCTCTAGTCCGGCATTCTGTGGTTCAGAAACTCCCGTGGTCCGGAACGATTTTAGTTTGTCCAATAGGTAGATAGGCAGCTTTTTTTCTTTCCCTTTTTTATATAACTTATCTGAATTATTATTATTATTACAGGAGTATTAAATTTTCGCCCCTCAGGCTCCAATGTGGGTTAGTGACCTATGCCCGGGTGGGCTAATCCCCGTAAAAAAAAAAACAAAGTCGCAGGAAATTAAGGTTTGTTTTCATCCGGCAGTTTGGCTGCTCTCTCTCCCTCTCTCTCTCTGCTTGTCTATACAGAGTACAACATTTAACCCTTCAATATATATGAGCAGTAAATAAGTGTTGCTTTCATATTCTTATGTAGAGTAATGACAATATGTTTTCACATGTGCACACTTACATACGCGCAGTCTCACTTTTTTTCTTTACCATTAATGGTTAGCTACTTATATTGTTCCATTTATTAACATTACATAACATTACTTCAAACAACCATATTAATTTTTTTACATTAATTTTACTACAGCTACAATCAGGGTCTTATTTTCTTCAGTTTTATATGTAGAACCAATCAGTCACTGGTTTTGTAAGCATTAACGAAAACAATGCCGGCAGCCGTCTCATCTCCTCATGTGTTTTAATATTCCACGTATTATTAATGAATTGTATTGTTCATTTTGCACACAAACATTAATTAAAAAAAAAATCAGAAACATGAATTGAAATATATATGAACAGTAAATAAGTGTTGCTTTCATATTCTTATGTAGAGTAATGACAATATGTTTTCACATGCGCTCACTTACATATGCGATCTCTTTTTTTCTTTACCATTATCGTTAGCTACTTCTATTGTTCCATTTATTAACATTAAATAACATTACTTAAAACAACCATATTAATTTTACTACAGCTACAACCAGGGTCTTATTTTCTTCAGTTTTATATGTAGAACCAGTCAGTCACTGGTTTTGTAAACAACGAAAACAAAGCCGTCTCGTTTCCTCGTGTGTTTTAATATTCTACGTACAGTGGTCCCTCGGTTAACGAGCGCCTCGGTTAATGAGATTTCGGTTAACGAGTTACCTTCCATAAGATTCTTAACTTCGGTTAACGAGCAATCCCTCGATTAACGAGTTTCTTACGAGCCGACCTGAACATGTCGCTTGCATTTGGCTGTCCACCAGCTGTAGTATTAGTCCGCCATTACAGTAATCGGTTCTAGGGCTTAAATTCCTTACCATTTTAGCAAATATCAAGAAGTTTATACTATTCAATAATTTTAAAAGTTTAATATTAAATTTTTTAGTCATTTTAACAATTATTGAACATAATTGAAGGTAATGAAACTAGTTTCATGCGCGCCATCCAGCCTCTCAACACATCATACAGACGTCAGTCTTTGTGTCTTTTCAGTGGAGGTAACATCTTGCTTGAGACTCTCTTTAACTAAACGCTTTTTTTCTGTGTTTGCAAGCAAATTATTGGTCATTTTGAAATTTAGTTTACATATTGACAATATTTAATGCAGTGCAGTGTTGATTTAAAGAAAATAATCTTGAATTACACCAAGAGAACTAAAATTTTATGGGTGAAATGACACCATGAGGTGACTTCTCTTTCACCCCAATGCCTTCTCTTCTCCCTTCTCCTCCACCCCCATTCTAATTCCCAATGTACGATTTTCCTAAGAATCTGTAACACACACGTCATAAGGTTCTTCGAAATTTCACAGTAAAATAGAAAACACAAAATATTTGCTTGTCATATAAAACAGTATTAAATGACTTTGCCAACCAAATGAAAACAAACTTAATAGATATATATTTGTTCAAAGTTCTGAGGTATTAAAGTGTCAAAAATACCCTAATATGGGTAATATAATTTTTTCTAAAGTTCTCTAGAAAGCACAAGGTAATGTTTTTGAACAATTTCCTGATGTGTTTTTTTTCTATTCTCACAGTACAGTATAGACAGTATCATGTTTTCTAAAAATTCACCAGAAGAAAACACAACATCATGCTCTAAAAACTGCATCAGAGAACACAAACGTAAACTTCTCAAAAATTCGTCAACATTATAGACTCTCAGGATAAACAGTATAAAATTGAGGCAGGTTGCGGGCGGAGACTCGCTCATTCACATCCACATAATGGCGGTCTGGGGAGGCGTTCGTCGTGGGACAATGGTCGACTTCACTCAATGGAGGATGCGGCGGTCTCTCTATAATACTCTTATTTTTGTACTGTATATACAAAAAAAAAACCTCCCCGTCTTGTGTGTGTTCTTCGTTTTCTCTCTATCTTTTTTTTGTTTTGTTTTTCATCTCCTGTGACCTCTCCCTCTGACTCTTAATAAGTTATTTATTATGTTATTAATTTTATGGTGTGGTTTGGGAAAGCCCCTTGGGGCGTCACTTATCTCATGAGCTATGTTTACAATGTTTCAAGTTCAGATTTGGATGGTAATGTACAGTGACTTTTTCCTTCCCCTAAAAAAAATCTAGATGGGTGTCATTGCAAATAATTAGATTTTACCTGAATTAGAAGATATGTCCCTCTTACTCTTAACAGGTTTGAAAATAGGACTTCCTGACCTCTGCTAATGGGTGTAAAAATAGTGTAATACTTGTCACGAATAGGTTTTTAAAGACGGCCCTCTTTCTCTTCTCCCACAACCCCTCTCCCTCCCCTCACAAACCCCTCTCTCACCTTAAGCCCACAACCCTGTTCTTCCTCCTTACACCCACAACCCTTTTCTCCCCTTTACCCCACTCTCCCTCCTCCCCACCTACAATCTCCCTCTCACCTCCTCCCTCCCACCTTTCCTCTCTCCCTCTTTCTCCCCTGCCTTCCATCCCTCTCCCTCCTTACCCCTCTCCCTCCTACCTTCTGTCCATCCCTTCCCCCTGACTTCCTGTCTTGAATTACTTCCCCTCTAGGTCCAGTTGTCCTCCCTCACTCCTCTTTCCTTCCTCCCTCCCTCACTCCTCTTTCTTCCTTCCTCTCCACTTTCCTTCTTCCCTCCCTTCCTCCCACCCTCCTTCCTTTTAACCTCTCTCTCCTCCTCCCTCCCCTCCCTCCTTCCTTACGCCGCACCATAACAGTAGTCTGAACACATTCTGCCCCAGTATGCCAGAAAAAGACTTAACTGCTGTCACTTCCCCCCTAAGATAAAAAAAAAAAAAGTTAACGCCCAACACTACCCACCAGCCACCCTGTCTTTGACAATTGGTGGAGGCGAGCTTCCCCTATCCCATCATTCACCTTTCCCTGCTTCCTGCCGTCCTATACCACACGCAGTTATCCTCTACCACAGTGACTCAACCACACGCAGTTATCCCCTACCACATGTAGCCATCCTCTACCACACCTTGTATAAGATAAGCCACCCCAATTTATTTCACCTGTTGATTAAACATTCTACTACTACTTTGGGGAGGGGGTTGATAAAGTTCAGGTTAGGTTATGTTCCAATGGGTTATGTTATGTTGAATTAAGGTTAGATGAATGTTAAGTTAATTTTAGGGTGTTTAATTATCAGGTGAAATAAGTTGGGATGTGTAATCATCACGTGATCCATAAAAAAATCTTTAAGTATTGATAAAATAAGTACAATGTTGTGTTGTTAGAAATATTATAACTTAAAACATCTTTATTTTCTTCAAAGATCTGCTGTGAAGACACCCAGAAGTACATGGCATCAACATTCAACCTCTGTAACCAGCATCAACATTCAACCTCTGTAACCTGCATCAACATTCAACCTCTGTAACCTGCATCAACATTCAACCTCTGCACTTGCATCAACATTCAACCTCTGTAACCTGCATCAACATTCAACCTCTGCACTTGCATCAACATTCAACCTCTGCACCTGCATCAACATTCAACCTCTGTAACCTGCATCAACATTCAACCTCTGTAACCTGCATCAACATTCAACCTCTGTAACCTGCATCAACGTCAACCTCTGCACCTGCATCAAATTCATTCAACCTCTTCACCTGCTCAACATTCAACCTCTGTTGCATCAACATTCAACCTCTGTAACCTGCATCAACATTCAACCTCTGCAACTTGCATCAACATTCAACCTCTGCACTTGCATCAACATTCAACCTCTGTAACCTGCATCAACATTCACCTCTGTAACCTGCATCGACATTCAACCTCTGCACTTGCATCAACATTCAACCTCTGCACTTGCATTAACATTCAACCTCTGCACCTGCATCACATTCACCCTCTAGACCTGCCTTAACATCACCCGCTACACATGCCTCAGCATTCACCCTCTACACATGCATCAGCATTCACCTTCAACACCTGCATCAACATTCTGCAACTTTAAAGAAATCCTATGCCCTTCCGCTACCTTAGTCCAGGTAAAGGAAGACGCACGCTGTCTGGTCAATGTAATAAAGACAACAGGGCTTAGTGTTTACCTGTCTCTTACCTTAATGCGGTGTCAATATTTAAAAGTGATAGGAAAAAAAATACTCGTGTTATTGAAGGTAAGATATATTAATTCAGATTAGAAAATGAAGGGAAAGAATAATTCAAGTTGTGCACATAAATATTTTTACAATTTAACAGACTTGGTTTGCTGCCCAAGAAGACGTGTACAGTATGTGTCTACACACACACACACGTGTGTATACAATATATATATATATATATATATTGTATACATACACACTTGTGTGTATATATACATACACGTGTGTATAAGTAGCAAATGTAATGGTAATTATGTAGGACAGAGAGGAAAAACATTGCAGCTCAGAATCAAACAACATAAGTACAATATCAGAACAGCATGTGAAAGCAGTGCCTTGTTCGTTCATGTTAGGAATAATAATCATCCCATTGCTTGGGAAAAAAGCTTAGAAATATTCAAATCATCTTGCGTCACAGAAAGACTTCTGGTTGAAGCTAGTTTGATTGAGGAATTAAAATCAATAAACCTTAGTGATGATCAGTTCAAAACTGATATGTTACAAAAGTTTGTCAGTGGCCCAAGGTTAAAAATGCTTTGAAAACCTTGAAGCTAGGTGTAGGATAGTTATTTAGTGGGATCCTTATTTTTGACCTGACCTGACTAGTCACGTCGCCCCCATTCTCTTAAGATCCTCTACCTGTGTTGGTGTGGGGATTAGTGGATGACATCATTATGACCTGACCTCATGTGCAATAAGGTCACCCTATATATTTAAGCCTCTCTCTGTCCATGTAATCCAGTTGCCTCTGAAGATGTCTTGAATAAAGCTGAAAGCTAAGGTGCTCATTTGTTTCCCTTTTCCCCTTGTGATTTTATCAAGATTTATCTTATCCACGTTTTCATTGTAGAGCTACGCTAAGTAGTTTATCATAGGAAACGGGAAATTTGTACCATAAAAAATGGGGAATATCTACTTTCCGGGAAAGTTGGTCATCTACTTTCCTGAAAAGTAGATTAACGACTTTTCGGGGAAGTAGATTAACGACTTTTCGGGGAAGTAGATTATCGATTTTTTGGGAAATATTGCCTAATTTTGCGAAGTAGATTATCATAGAAAACGGGAAATTTGTATCATAGAAAATGGGAAATATCTACTTTCCGGGAAAGTTGGTTATCTACTTTCCCGAAAAGTAGATTATCTACTTTTCGGGAAAGTAGATTATCGACTTTTCGAGGAAGTAGATTATCGACTTTTTGGTAAAATATTACCTAATTTTAAGAGGTAGATTATCATAGAAAACGGGAAATTTGTATCACAGAAAAAGGGAAATATCTACTTTCCGGGAAAATTGGTTATCTACTTTCCCGAAAAGTAGATTATCTACTTTTCGAGAAAGTAGATTATCGACTTTTCGGGGAAGTAGATTTTGGTAAAATATTACCTAATTTTAAGAGGTAGATTATCATAGAAAACGGGAAATTTGCATCACAGAAAATGGGAAATATCTACTTTCCGGGAAAGTTGGTTATCTACTTTCCCGAAAAGTAGATTATCTACTATTCGGGAAAGTAGATTATCAAATATTCCTAATTTTGCGAAGTAGATTATCATAAAAACGGGAAATTTGTATCATAAAAATGGGAAATATCTACTTTCCGGGAGAAGTTGGTTATCTACTTTCCCGAAAAGTAGATAGATTTTCTACTTTTCAGGAAAGTAGATTATCGACTTTTTCAGAAGTAGATTATCGACTTTTTGAAATATTACCTAATTTTGAAAAGTAGATTATCATAGAAAACGGAATTTGTATCATAGAAATGGGAAATATCTACTTTCCGAAAGAAGTTGGTTTTCTGGTAAATAATTCTACTTTTCGGGAAAGTAGATTATCGTTTTTCGAGGAAGTAGATTTTTCGAATTTTTGGGGAAATATTACCTAATTTTGCGAAGTAGATTATCATAAAACGGGAAATTTGTATCATAAAAATGGGAAATATCTACTTTCCGGGAAAGTTGGTTATCTACTTTCGAAAAGTATCTACTCTGAAAGTAGATTATCGACTTTTCGAGAGTAGATTTTCGAATTTTTGAAATATTACCTAATTTTGCAAAGTAGATTATCATAAAACGGAAATTTGTATCATAAAAATGGGAAATATCTACTTTCAGAGAAGTTGGTTATCTACTTTGCCGAAAAGTAGATAGATTTCTACTTTTCGGGAAAGTAGATTATCGACTTTTCGGAAGTAGATTTTCGAATTTTGGAAATATTACCTAATTTTGCAAAGTAGATTATCATAGAAAACGGGAAATTTGTATCATAAAAATGAAATATCTACTTTCCGGGAAAGTTGGTTATCTACTTTTCTGGGGAGTAGATTCGAATTTTAGGAAATATTACCTAATTTTGCGAAGTAGATTATCATAGAAAACGAAATTTGTATCATAAAAATGAAATATCTACTTTCGGGAATACTTTTCAGGAAAGTTGGTTATCTACTTTCCCGAAAAGTAGATAGATTTTCTACTTTTCGGGAAAGTAGATTATCGATTTTTTCGGGGAATAGATTTTTTTCAATTTTGAAATATTACCTAATTTTGCAGAAGTAGATTATCATAGAAAACGGAGGAAATTTGTATCACAAAAATGGGAAATATCTACTTTCCGGAAAGTTAGTTCGATAACCAAATTTTTCCGAAAATAGATTATCATAGAAAACAGGAAATTTGTATCATAAAAAATGGGAATATCTACTTTCCGGGAAGAGTTGGTTAAGATAACAAATTTGCCGAAAATAGATTATCATAGAAAACAGAAATTTGTATCATAAAAATGGGAAACATCTACTTTCCGCGAAAGTTGGTTAGATAAACAACTTTCCGAAATAAGGATATCATAAGCAGGAAATTTGTATCATAAAAATGGGAAATATCTACTTTCCATGAAAGTTGGTTAGATAAATAACTTTTCCCGAAAATAAACTATCATAGAAAACAGGAAATTTGTATGTCATAAAAAATGGGAAATATCTACATTCCGGGAAAGTTGGTTATCTACTTTCCCGAAAGTGAATAGATTTTCTACTTTTCGGAAAGTAGATTATCGATTTTTCGGGGGAATAGATTTTCGGGTACACGGGAAATATTACCTAATTTTGCAGGAAATAGATTATCGCAAAACGTACTTCACAAAAGTTTCTTCGTTAACCATTTCCGATAGATTATCATGAAAACGGGAAATTTGTGTATCATAAAAATACAGATATCTACTTTCGGGAGGACGGTTAGATAACCAAATTTGCCAAAAAATGAATTATCATAGAAAAACAGGAAATTTGTATCATAAAAAAATGGGAAATATCTACTTTCCGCAAAAAGTTTCTTAGATAACCAACTTTCCCGAAATAGATTATCATAAGTAAATTTGTATCTCATAAAAATGGGAAATATCTACTTTCGTGAAAGTTAGTTAGATAACCAAATTTGCCGAAAATAGATTATCACATAGAAATGAGGAAATTTGTATCATAAAAATGGAAATATCTACTTTCGCAAAAATTTCTCAGATAACCAACTTTCGAAAATAGATTATCATAGAAAGAAATTTGTATCATAAAAATGGGAAATATCTACTTTCCAGAAAGTTGGTTAGATAACCAAATTTGCGAAAATAGTTATCATAAAACAAAATTTGTATCATAAAAAATGGGAAATATCTACTTTCCGCAAAGTTTCTTGAATAACCAACTTTTAAAATAGATTATCATAGAAAACGGGAAATTTGCTTACATCATAAAAAATGAAATATCTACTTTCGGGAAAGAAGTTGGTTAGATAACCAAATTTGCCGAAAATAATTATCATAAAACGGAAATTTGTATCATAAAAGATGAAATATATACTTTTCCGCAAAAGTTTCTTAGATAACCAACTTTCCCGAAAATAGATATCATAAAAGCATTGTATCGCCAAAAATGAAATATATAAATTTGGGAAAGTTAGTTGAATAACCAAATTTGCCGAAAATAGATATCATAGAAACGGGAAATTGTATCATAAAAAAATGGGGAAATATCTACTTTCCGCAAAAAGTTCTTGAATACTTAACTTTCCCGAAAATAGATTATCATAGAAAACAGGAAATTTGTATCATAAAAAAATGCAAATATCTACTTTCCACTGAGGGAAAGTTGGTTAGATAACCAAATTGCAAAATAGATATCATAACAGGAAATTTGTATCATAAAAATGGGAAATATCTACTTTCCGCAAAAGTTTCTTAAATAACTTTCGAAAATAGATATCATAGAAACAGGAAATTTATCTTAAAAAATGGG